GAGGATGATTTGTTTTTCCTTTTCTTTGATAGATCCACAACAGTAGGTAGAACTGAAAAGGCCATCCTTTGTGGTGCTGCAGGCACAATGCTAGTCTCAGTAATAGCTAGTTCTATCTTCTTTTTCTTCTTTTTAGGTGGACCTCTGCATGGACAGATAGGTTAGCAACAATGTAAACATCCAGTAATTATAGTCTCAAATACATAAATGATAACAGACAATTGATATAGCCTCAGAGTATACTGGGCAAGCAAACAGTCAAAATAACAACAAAGTCTCACTATGAAATAACAGACTATGAATTGGGGCCGTGTAGATCAATAAGGGCAGAAGCAGAGTTGGGATGATCAAGCCCACAGCATAATCTGATGATCAAGTTCCATGGTTCTATGCCCCATATGTCAGGTTACGTACAAAGGTTACTGACACTATCATTATGTTCCTCAAGTTATGCAAGTTTGTGTCTAGAATGTACTTGAACTGCAACTTAGAAGACAAAGGCATTGCCATTTGCACGAGCACAAGTAGAAGCAAGACTTGCTGCGAACAGAAATGGAACAGGAACATGGTCTTCTACCACTAAAGGAAATAATTGCATAATAAATTGGCACTATAAAAGGAAATAATTGCAGAATAAATTGGCACTTCTATGTTACCTTTCAGCAAGCATTGCTGCTATGTCTGTTGGGTCACCATCCTTGCAAGTGTACCAATGATGTCCATATTGCTGACAGATCGGACACTAATGCCTACCCTTGCCTCCTTTGCTGCCACCCTATGCTACGCCCTTGTATCTATTTTGTCTTCTCCTACCAGCCGTTGACTTCAACAATGGACGATGCAGGAAGAAACCAAGTTCTTTTTTGGGCCACATGGATTTGTCTGGTATAGAAGAGATTGTACCATCATATGCAGCCCTGAAGCTCTGTACAGAGTAGTAGTTGTCCACATGATCTTCTATCTTCTCTCCAGGTATAGAGGTGATGTAGGCAATTGCATGCTTACATGGTAATCTAGAAACGTCCCATGCTCTACAAGAGCATGTTCTTTCCTTTAGGTTCACAACAAACCTATAAGTAGAACCTCCCCTTGCCATAACCTCTGCAATGCCATCAAGTGAGCTAGTCACAACATCAATGTCAAGGTTCCTACTTTGCTCCTTTAGCTGACTTATGATGTGTGGCAAAAATTTTCCTTCCATTCTATGTGCAATTTTTTTCCTCTGGTTTCATTTGATTAGAAGCTTCTGTCTTATAGTATCCATCAAGTTATCTAGATGCAGCCCCTTATCAGCTTTTATCCAATTGTTGAAGCTTTCTGCTAAATTATTGGTGACATAGTCAACTTTTGACAATGTAGAGTACTGACTTCTTGACTTCTTGTCCATAGTTTTGTATGAGTTTGCTGCAAGTATGTCATTGCTGCTGGATTTGCTTCAGCCATGACCTTGATATGCTTTTCAAACATATATGAATTCCAAGAATAAGCAGCAGCCCACAAATGTTCATCAAAAACTTTTCCACTGAACCTTTTCTTAAAATTCTACACCAAGTGCCACATGCACTCTCTATGCTCTACATTTGGGAATACCTCACTAACTCCTGTCATGACTGTCGGACCACAATCTGTGCAAAAGGTCAAACCGGGTGGGGTACCTATAGCTTCCTTAAGCCTTTCCATAAACCAAATCCAGTTTTCGTTGGTTTCAAAATCAATGACTCCTATAGCAACTGGGTACATCCATTTGTGCCCATCAACTGCACAAGCAATGCATAATTGACCTCTAAATTTTCTAGTTAAGAATGTACTATCAACAGCCAGATAAGGCCTGCAACCTCTAAGGAAACCTTCAACACAAGGTTTCATTGCAAAAAAAACCTATTGAATCTGATCTTATCCTCTATTGTATGATGATCAATGACAACAAAGTTGCCAGGACAAGATTGTTCTATCTGTGCCTTAAACCTATACAAGTTGTCAAAACTTTCATTCTAGTTACCATACAACTCGTCCATAGCAAGTGCCTTTCCATCATACACTTTCTTGTAGCTGATACTGATCTTCCAATCATCCTTCAATCTTCTCCTAAGTTCTTTGGGCCGAATAGTGGGGTCCTCAGCTAACCAATCCTTTATCTTCTCACGAATCCAAAACTTGGTAGCATGTTTGACTTTCCCAATCGTCCTACTACTTTGACATTTATGATCACAAGGGTTCACCTTGACCTACAAAGTTTAGTTTCAATTAGACTAGAATAATTTTAGAAGTGTGAACACAGTACTGAAATAAATTCAGAAATATGAACAAACTACTAAAATAAATAAAAGAGAAATTACATGTACAGTAACTTTATCACTCATTGTCGATGCATGAAGCCTCCAGTTACAACCATCTTCCACTCCCGCGCAGTATGCCCGATACCTCCCTGGTTCACTCTTTTCAATGTTATACTCAAATTCTTTCTTGATAGCATGTGTTGCAAGAGCCAACTTAAATTCAGACATGTTTGGATAGATGCTCCCTACTTCCATAGGAGGGTCATCTTTGTTGTATGCAACTTGAGGCATGTCAGATGGCAATCTATCATTAACAATCTCATCTACCTCATCATCCATATCGGAGTCAGACATAGAATCAGATTTAGAGTTTGAATCCGAATCATAATCTTCATCCTTTTTGTCAGTTGTGTCAACATTTGCATGAGAAGCAGGTACTATGTCAAGGTATAAACCCTCCTCATCAACCCCCACATGTTCATTCTCTGGTTCAGGATTCTTAAGATAAGTATCCTCAGCATCTACCATGTCATCATCTGGTTCTGTAGCAGTCCCAGTTTGGGTTGCTTTGCTAGGTTCTACATAGCTAGGGGCTGGCATTGATGGGGTGCATGGGATGTCAACATTGTCCCATAGTGGGATTTCTGGTGGATCAACATCAGGTTTATGATATGCAATTGACATGCAACAACACTTGGAGCTCATATGTTTCGCGAACATATGCATTAACTCTTGGTCTGAATGAATTTGTATGTTGGACTTGCTATCAGCATAGAAATAGAACAGCTTCACTACATCACCATACCCGCAAGGAAACTGATCTAGAATTTCATCAACAAGGTCTTTAAAATTTGTGGTGTCTGAATCAACAACTTTATTAATGCCATACCATGGTCCTCTCATAGTTGGACTAATTATCCTGATTTCTAGATTGAAACTGGTCTCGATGTCATTCCTACACATGAACAAATACGATTTACTAACATCTATGTAGTTCAATTCAGTCCAAACAACACCAAAACATGGAACTAATGTATGCATTTGAGAAAGAAAAGGGACACTCACCCATCTGGAAGCCAAGCTGGTCATCCGTCCACCATCTTTTATGAATCCACAACAATTCCTCCCTCCTCTGCTCCTTTGGTCCTCAGGATGCGCCTCCACTGGTCCTCTGCTCCTCAGGGCTCGTGAGCCCACCTGCCTGCGCACCTGAAGCAACATGCAGTGGTTGCCACATAGTACCTTGAGTTGCTAATACAAGTCTATCAGGCAGTGGTTGCGATACATATGGTACACTAGAACATCACATCCAACAATCTTACGAGGTAGATCAGCGTACAGCTAGCAAGAAGAAACTTGAAATAAGTACATGCACACATTATTCTACTTCAGCTCCCTCCAAATCTGCAGATCACTACGACAATTCAACTACCCAGATTTTTAGATAATGAAATATTCCAACCTCCACATCACGGATACATACATCCGTAATTCAACTGCACAGATGCAGATCGAAAGGCCCAAAACCAAAATTACGTAGTTTTCGTGTACCAGGCCAAAAAACATGAACATATCCTTCCATCCCGTAAGCTCCCCAGCCCAATCAAGGAGGACTGACGCTTGAGCCCCATCGGCAAGCCGGCAGCAATCTCTCATTCCTAAGCATTGGGCGCGTGAGAAAGGGGAGGCTTCACCTTCTTCGCGACGGGCGGCGTCGAACCGGCGGGGCTGGCGACGAGGACGAGGCCAAGGATTGCGACGATGGCGAGCGCCACCAAGTGCTTCCACTGGTCCTCTGCTCCTCAGGGCCCATGAGCCTGCTTGCCTGGGCACCGTGCTCGCGCCCTTTGTCTCACTGCTCCGCCGCTCGCCATCTCATCGCCATCTCGCCCACCAAGCCTAAGCCCTGCAGAGCGCGCATCAGCCATGACTCGCTTCGCTTCCCAGCACAAGCAAGCCAGCGCCCAGGGATCCTCCCAAGACGCGAACCACCACACAGCAGCCGCGCGCACCACCATGAGCTCCCTCCCCGCCGACCTGAGTGGCTAGCTTGCTTAGGGTTTGGATAGGAGTGGGGAATGAACCAGAGAGTCCAACGAGAAGCCCATGGACGATGGGGAATTGACCGGACACAGTAATGGGCAAAGGAGTCATTTCGTGTCTAGTTGCCTGCCAGCTCTGTTAAAAACAAACGGTAAGGTGACGAGAGTGGCATTCAGGCGAAAGAAACTTTAGATAAGGGTGGTGAGGAACTTTTCAAAAATTCGATGATACATATATCATTTGGATCTTTTATAATGGCACACGGGTAAAAAGCCCATCTTTATTAGTCCCATTTCTGAAGACTAGCGAAGCGTGACGCATCAGGATTTCTCTAAAGATTACAATATATCATTCTCTTTTTTCCCGAATTAGACAGACACGGACACCTATAAACATGTATATTATCTCTCCTTTTTGAGATATATTTTAGTTTACCTTTTGCTGCAATATGGTAATTTAGATACAAATTTAGATATTATTATATTTAGAGTGCTATTTATGTTTTAGTCATATAATGGTAGAAGTAGATAATCTACACTACTAAAGCATCATCTTTTTTTTATGCTAAGTTCATAAAAAAAATGTTTGGGCTACGTCCTCCAGGAGACGGGGCGCTCGGCGGGCGCGTCGGCGGTGATCATCAACACCTTGGACGAGCTCGAGGGCGAGGCGGTGGCGGCCATGGAGTCGCTGGGCCTGGCGCGCAAGGTGTACACGCTGGGCCCGCTGCCGCTGCTGGCGCGCGAGGACCCGCCCACCCCGTGCTCCTCCATCAGCCTCAGCCTGTGGAAGGAGCAGGAGGAGTGCCTGCGGTGGCTGGACGGCCGGGACCCGGGTTCCGTCGTCTACGTCAACTTCGGCAGCATCACCGTGATGACCAACGAGCAGTTGGAGGAGTTCGCGTGGGGGCTGGCCAACAGCGGCAGGCCGTTCCTGCGGATCATCCGGCGCGACCTCGTCAAGGGCGACACCGCCGTGCTGCCCCCGGAGTTCCTGGCCGCGACGGCCGACCGCGGGCTCATGGCCAGCTGGTGCCCGCAGCAGGCGGTGCTGGACCACCCTGCCGTGGCCGCGTTCCTCATGCACAGCGGCTGGAACTCCACGCTGGAGGCCATGTGCGGCGGCGTGCCGGTCATCAGCTGGCCCTTCTTCGCCGACCAGCAGACCAACTGCCGCTACCAGTGCAACGAGTGGGGCGTCGGGATGGAGATCGACAGCAACGTCCGCCGCGACGCCGTGGAGAGCCTCATCACTGAGCTCATGGAGGTGGAGCAGGGGAAGGAGATGAGGAGAAAGGCGATGGAATGGAGGGACATCGCGATCGAGGTGGCCAAGCCCGGGGGCACGTCTCACCGGAATTTTGATGACCTGGTTCGCAACGTGCTCCTGCCCAAGAACTAGGCAACTGGTAGCTGTCTTTGCACGGTGTTTCTGCCAGTGGCGTGTGATTTTGTCCCTTTGGTTTGGTGGGTGATGGAGAGATCAGTGTGGTTGTGTAAACAATAATAATACATAGTACTTCCTCGATCCCAAATTATAAGATGTTTTATATTTTTGACACTAAGTTTGACTACTCGTTTTATTCAAAACTTTGTGCAAAATATCATTTTTTATCGTGGCTTGCTTTATTAATAAAAGTTCTTCAAGAATGACTTAAATTTGGCTATGTTTACACAAATTTTTTGAATAAGACGAGTGGTCAAACTTGGGATCAAAAAAGGCCCCGTTCGTTTGGCTGAATTTGGCTGAAAAAATAAGTCAAAATATTGTTCCGGTTGAATTGTTGTGAGAGAAAAACACGGTTCGGCTGAAAAAAGAAGTCAAACAAGTCGAATTTTAAGACAAGCGAATGAGGCCAAAGTCAAACGTCTTATAATTTAAGATGATGTACAAGCGTTTGATTGTTGTGCAACTCTGAAACAAACTGTTTTGTTTACATGGATTATTGGTATATTAATTATGCACTGGGTGGGTGTGTGGGTGTGTTTGCTTGCTTGATATACATAGATAGGATAGGATTATCCATGGATATACAGCGTTTGGTTTGTTGGGTCACTGGGATAAGCAAATATATGGATAGAGAATATACCTCTAGATGTTGTATTTCCTGGGCTGAAAAAATTTGGTGGACTAACTTATTCATGTCTTCTAATATTTGTCATTAGTAAATAAATTATGAATTATTAGTATGTTATATTATTACTTAGTAATTATGATGATAAGATTAGTTTTAATAAATGCTAATAAGTTGATTAGTGCATGTTTCGTGTGCTAATTAGGATATTTGTGGTGCTAATTAATATATTTTATTTCAATTAGTGATTATCGTGACAAAATTAGTATTAGTGCATATTTTTTAGTGTCTAACTAGTTGTTATTATTTTTAAATAATAGATATAATTAGTCAACTATTCTCATCCCATCTAACTTTATCCATCTAAACAAACAGAAAAATAGTTCGTTACATTTATCCAACCAAACATGCATCATCGATATTCTTATTCTAATATCCATAGATCCTCATATCCCATCAACTTCGTCCTCCAACCAAGCGTACACATATGATTGGTCGAGCGGAAGGCACTACTAAACTAACGGATGGTGACGACAAACATCAAGATGCCAGGCGTGAAGCATCACAATCTGAAGATGACGATATGCCATTTAGTTATACAGAACCCAACTGCATTAGGGGGTGTTTAGTTCTTTAGTCACTCCTAAAATTTATGTCACATCAAATATTTAGATATTAATAAAGAGTATTAAATATAGATTAATTACAAAACCAATGCGAGACGATTTTTTTAAGCCTAATTAATCTATCATTAGCACATGTTTACTGTAGCACCACGTTGTCAAATCATGGACTAATTAGGCTTAAAAGATTCGTCTTACAAATTAATCGTAAGTTGTGTAATTAGTTTCGTAATTAGTTTATATTTAATACTCCATATATGTGTCTAAATATTCAATGTGACATAAATTTAGGAGGCCCTTGTAGTAACAAACATCCCCTTATTTTGGAGGATTGGTTGGTCTTATCGAGGAAGTACTTCAAACATTTGCTACTTCTGGACTTCTGGTGTGATCACGTGAGTGTGTAGATCTTTATTAGTCCATTTTAGAAGACTAGCGAAGTGTGACGCATCAGAATTTCTCTGAAGATTACAATATGTCATTCTCTTTTTTCCTGAATTAGATAGACATGGACACCTATAAACATGTATATTATCTCTCCTTTTTGGAGATATATTTTAGTTTACCTTTTGCTGCAATATGGTAATTTAGATATTATTATATTTAGAGGGCTATTTATGTTTTAGTCATATAATGGTAGAAATAGATAATCTACCTTACTAAAGTATCATCTTTTTTTATGCTAAGTTCATAAAAAAACCTCCCCTGCTAAGTTGGCCCTCCTCCACGCACCCCGCAAAGTGTACCTAAAAAACAACTCCATACAAATGAACCATCCATATTGCTTCTCACTGTTCCTCTCCTTACTCAGTCAGATACGATGGTCAGGATTGCATGTATGGTACACCTCAGCCCCCTACCATCATCCGCGCGCAAGGCAACACATCCGTGGTTAACGTATCTCCGCGCAACACATCTGCGCGACATCACCACGCCTTCGTCCCTGTCGCCATGTCCGCGCAACATCACCGCGCCTTCGTCTCCAAGCCTCGCCACGTCCGGCCGGCGCTGCCCGCTTCCAGGCCCCGCCTATGAACCTCGCTCACGGTCTACAGGCTCCGCTGCCCCACGACGGCGCCTTCATCCTTGTCGTGCGTGGAGCATCAGGACCAGGATCAGGTGGCGGCGTCACAGTCTCCACGCCTCGCCTCTCCCAATCATGACCAGGCCCCACGGCATTGCGCCTCCGCCCCCGTCTCCAGGACCTGCGGCATCGCGCCTCTGCCCCCTGTCTCCAGGACCCGCGCCATCGCGCCTCCATCACGTGGTGTTCGTGACCGGATCCTCCAGTATGCCAGATTACATGCGACCGGATATAATCATCAGGACGCCGGTGTTGTTCAGTAGCCGCCCCACCATCGCGTGAACGTCTCAGGTGCGGCGGCCACAGGTGCATGGCTCACTGCTATCACATACTCCATCCGTCCCTAAAAAAGAGTCATTATAGGAATCGTGCTGGTCAAACTTTCTAAACTTTGACTAGATTTATAGAAAACACGTACAATGTTTATATATTCAAATAAGTTTATTATAAAGTATATTCAACGATCTATCTAATAATACTAATTATATACCATAAATATTAATATTTTGTTAAATATATTTAGTCAAATTAAAAGTTGTTGACTTTTTAGAAGCGAGAATGACTCTTTTCTATTGACCGAGACGGTATACGAAGATACCCTATTCGATGAAATGTCTGAATGGTGTGGATGCTTTCCTTTTTTTTCTCAACACGAGACATCTCATTCCCATTATGAAATAACGGGAATACAGCATTCAGCATTACAGGTAGATAGAACTTAGAAGAAGAACCTACGATCCAACCGAACCTGCAGAAAGTATAAAGGCCAACCACCAAACAGTTTCACGCGCACAGACAGGCGCCAACCACCACCACCAAAGAGCAGCAACGCGCTCGAATTGTTAAACGGCCAGACACAATACAGAACAAACGAACAGAAACGCTAACTGGGACCTAAGTCAATCGAAGCTAAGATATAGCAACACACAAAAGCTGAGCACATCTCCTTCAACGAGGCAGGTATCTTCGCCCTTCAACATCTCAAGCCGAGTCCTCATCAGTGTCGCCATCTTGTTCATCCTGGAGCATCATCTGATTCACTTGCCTCGCCGTCTGCTTCGTAAGGACTTCCTTGGCAACCTTGAGCATCAGGTTGGCTCCTTCAATCAGTTGGTCACGATCCATTTCAGCATACAAACCTGTCCAAAAGATCATAAGCGCGCTAGCATGGCACAATATCTCCAATGGACTCTTTATGATTATCTTTTCAAAGCATACTTTATTGCGGCTCTTCCAAATAGCCCAGCAAATTGCTGCAATCCCCAGGGATGATACTTTTTCCCAAAAGGAAACCACCTTTCACACCAACTCCAACACTGTTGTAAGTTGGTTGGAATGTTATTTGCCTCAAAACATTTAGCTATAACGGACCAAACAACTTTAGCTACTGGACATTGGAAAAACAAATATGAAATGGTTTCAACACAATCGCAGAAAACACAGTTTGGGTCACCCTGCCAATTTCTTTTTCGCAAATTATCTCTAGTTAGCAGTGCTCCACACGACATAAGCCATAAGAAAATCTTGATTTTTGCTGGGATCTTCCCTTTCCAGATTCTTTCGTGAAAAATCCCACTCTCAATTTTTGTGAGCCCATTGTATACAGATTTAACATAAAACTTTTTATTTTTACCCAGGTTCCATACAATAACATCCTGACTATCTTCTAACTGAAAACTGGTTGCATTTCCCCAGATCTCGTCCCATTCTATCCTGAGCTCATAATGTAGCCATCTTCTAAAAAGAATAGGTACTCCTTGTAAAGCATGAGCAACAGAGATCTCTTTGTTTTCACACAATGCAAACACAGGAGCTTGTGTAGCTAAAGGCTCACTATAAACTCAAGGGTCATGCCAAAATCTGGTCATGGTCCCGTCTTTAATGACAACCCCCTCCCTTGAAGATAAATATGTTTGACTTTCAAAAGGTCAGCCCACATGGGCAAGTCATTGATTTTGTGATCTACATCATGAATTGATTTATTTTGCATATACTTATACTTGACAATTTGTTGCCATAAGCCATCTTCTTTCTTCAGCTTCCACCACCATTTACATAAAAGACTGATGTTCAATCTTTTTAGGTCTTTGATTCCTAAACCTCCTTTTTTCTTACTCTTGCAAATTATTTCCCATTTTACCAGATGGTATTTCTTTTTAGTCCCACCACCTTGCCAAAAGAAAGTTCTCCTAATTTTTTTCTAGATGATTCACAGTAGTCTTTGGAAGCAAGTAAACTGACATATGGTACATTGGTGAGTTGTTCAAACTAGCAGAAATAAGAGTTGATCTACCAGCAATAGATAAATTCCCTCCCTTCCAAACATCAAGTCTTTTATTACTCTTCTCAATCAATGTCAGCCAATCACTAACTTTCAACCTACTTGGGCTAACAAGAACCCCCAAATATTTTATAGGGAAGAGGCCAACTTGACAATTGAACATCTCAGCATAAGTTTGACCCCAGTTTCCTTCATCATTTATCATTAAAATCTCACTTTTATTGAAGTTTATTTTCAAACCAGCAAGCATTTCAAATAAGTACAACAATAGCTTCATATGCATGGCACCTTCAAAGTCATGTTCAAGAAAAATTATAGTATCATCAGCGTACTGTAAAA